GGGAGCCACACAATGCCTGCTTACAGCGCTTCTGCCACCCACACATCTCCCCTTAGTAAGACCCTCCCCACCCCTCCTGACAAGCTCTGCCCAATACATTAGGCCAGAACCGCAGAGTAGAGCAGCAGCACAGGGTATGTGGCAAATGTATATACTATTATTCTGCATTGCTCTATGTTTTGTTGGGATTTGTAGTCCTCTATAGCTAATGGTATTCTGCTTTTCTGTATAATGTATTGCTGCGGTTGGTAGTCCTCTATCGCTATAGGTGATTATTTACACAGCCCTGGTGTTTACTGAAATTGAAAAGCTTTTGAGAGTTTTTCCTCTCTTTCTCAAGTCTGAAGCAATACCTGAGGAAGAAAGAAAAACTCTTGAAAGCTCGTCTTCTAAGTATTAGGTTAGTACAATAAAAAGGTATCACCGCATACCGCATTACTCTCGTATTTTGTAATCTTATTTATATATACTTCTTTAGTTTTTTTCAGCGGTATGATTTAGTGGTGAAAATTATTAGTGCCCCCCCATTTTGACTGTGGTATCTTATGTGCCCCCCCTATATATTGTTCCTAGAGTCGCCACTGCCATTGCACCTTGAAAAACCACCTTAATTTTGCTTCCCCTTTGACTCCAATACATTTTGCTGAAATGTCCAGAATTTCACTCATCTCTAATCAGAATTATTTAACATGGTTCCCAACCATGTGATCACCATGGCTGGTATCAATTTGAAGAGAACCTTGCCTGCTGCAGCTGTCACTGTGTATTTGCATGTTCACATATTTGTCCACGGGTCAATCTAAAATAAACATGAGCATGGTTGACATTTTCTTGACACTTTCAAGTCCTGGGTTAAAAAAACTTTATGGCAAAATGTTTATGTTTTGGTATGCACCGGTTTTCAATGCCATACAGTGCTGTATGGTTGATAAACAAGTGCATACATTTTATTATTTTAGATATTAGGCATGTAGCACCCTCTGATATGTCTCTACTAAATTAATGTTATATCTAGACTGTAGTCAGCCTGGATGCTGATTGCTCTGAGATCTGCAGGTTTCCCTAAGTCTGATCGATTGATTCTACCTTTGCTGGGTTGGGGCCGCAGCATACAGTGTGGGAAGATCAATCCTCAGATTATGACCAATCCCTGAGCAGGCTCACGCAGAGGTATGGCTGGAGGAAGGTAATAAATATTTGGGAACACCTTCCAGAACTCTCTCCCCTGAGGCTTCAGCCTGGGTGGAGGCCTGTGTGCTGCAAGATGCCTGGCCTAGGCCTCAACGGTCTAAGATGCTACTGAAAGGAAACCTGATGGAAGATGGGCTGGAGAAAGAATCTGTTTATTAGGAGTGTCACAGAGGAGCTGATGAGAGCTGCCTTCTGGAACCTGTAAGTGATTCCTCGCCCTCTATGCATACTATATGGAAGAGAAGCCAGATGGCGCACTGTATAGGTGCCCATATACCTATTGATTATCGTTCGGAAATTGTCAGCAAATAATCTTTCGTAAGATAATCGATCAGTTGATGGGAACCCAATGATTATTTTTTTTTACTGTACTCCTGACCGAAATTTTCTTGAACGGTCAGGGTGGAAACCTTTTTTTGAATCGAACGAAAATCAATGAATTAGTGATGTTTTCATACGGCAAAAAAATTGCAACATGAACACTGCACATGCGCAAAACAAAAATCCGTTGTGCCGATCAATGAAATTCGGTGAGTTAGTATTGCAAATGATGGGGTATTCGAGCGCAAATCAAATGAGTGTTTGATGACGGCCCGAAAAAAAACTAATGATAATCGATAGGTGTATGGCAAGCTTAAGTCCTCTGTTCTCCTTCAGTGTCTTGGACTGTTCCTGGCTGTTCTCTGGTGCTACTACCTATCACTGGTCACTCTTATATGACCTTTTGCTACCTGTTACTACTGTTGCTAATGGTGAAGACACTGCCCTCTATTTTTGTTACTCGGGTATCCTGCAACCATAACCCTCTCTCCTAGTTATTACTGAACAATAAATACTATCAAGACCCTATGACTTGAGCCTGTTCTATCCTAAAAGTGTCGGTATTGCTGAAGGCTACAAAACAGGTAGGAGAACCCAAAATAATCCAGTGGCTCCTTAGAGGGTGAGCGCTACTGACATTTTCCAGTACAATGGCTATACTTCATTAACCGGCCTGGGATGATGGGTAACAGACAGCAAGGCTTATCAGA